CAAAGCAAATGTGTGAACGTTTTCATATCTGACCTATTTGGCGTTGAATTAAAAAAAACGCGCCTTAAGGTAAATGTTACTTTTACTTATTCATTTGCAATGATTTATGAATGTATAGCATTAAGTTGGAAACAGCGACGTTTACGTTTTATCAGCTTAGAAATCGTTACTTAATGTGTGCATCAGAATACATTACTCTTTATACCTAACAATTGAGGACACTAGTGGATAAAAGTGGTGTCATGTAACATTTTTCAAAAATTGCTTTTTTTGTAGGCAGCAGCGGTGGCCGCAATACTAGACTCTTCGGTCTCCTGATCAGTCGCCGTGCGCTGTGCGGGTTCGATTCCCATCCCAGGAGAAATTTTTCTCTTGGCTATGGATGTTGTGATTGTCCGTAGGTGGTGGATGGTCTCTGACTGTCGAACGTGGAGGTACTACCCGGTGGATCTCTTAGGCGGGGCCAGAATGTGTGCATGTTGCATGCACACGTGTTCCCTCGCCAGAGTCCGTGTGGCGTTCCCTGTATCCCCCTATAGGCCCACGGTACCCCAAGTGTGTTTAGGCCTTAGGCCTTCGTGGTGGTTGGAGTATAAAAAAAAACTCATCTTAAGGAGTGATACTTTCATACTGTGATTACTTTGTTGCAAAAACAAGTTAATAACAAACTAAATAAACTGAATATTAACAATGTCAATAAAGTAAAAAGTGCCAATAAAAATGCTTGTCCATTAAATGATTTTGTAACATGACACCTTTATCGACTTGTGTGTTCAATTCAATTGCTTGCAAAACAAACGTATTAACATGTGAAACAGGCCGAACACAAAGTATTTATTATACATTCAAAATAAACCAAGAGAATTATTTAGAATAAAATGCATTCGCACAGGTATTCATTGATCAGCGTATCAACTTTTTGTGAAATTGAGTTGTACTCTTTGTTAAAAAATACAATAGAACACTGTACCGTTTTTACAATGAGGTTGAAAAACAAAATTTGCAGTTGAAATGACCGGAACAGCCGGCTGGTCTTATAAATAATTAGATCGGCAAAATCAGTGGTGAATCTAAAATTCATCTGCAGAATGACAAACAAGTTTTTTAGGAAAATTCGGATATAGCCTAATGGACTAAAAAAATAAATTCGGGTAGCTCTCGATTACTATGTGACTTCTAATGACCAGCTTTACAAGCAGTAATCAGTCGACATAAAGTAAAAGGTTTTGCTAATTTTGTTATGTATCAGTAAAGATGTATTGCTGCTTTACAAGTTACCCGGCACACAGTGGTTCAGAGAAAGCATCAATATTTCTAATTTTGTTACTGGTAAACCGATTTTTATGAGACATATCTCATTAGAAAGCTAAAGAAATTCTCTTCAAAAAATTGACAAATGTCAAAAATTGAAGATGGCAGCACTATACAGGGCGTTCCTGAAAGGTCTTTACAAAATTTTAGCACATATTCCTGACTTCAAACTAAGCTGAATTGAAGTAGCTTACCTTAGTTCAAAATTCGATTCCGATTCCGAGATACAGGATGGTAAAGTTAGATAATACAAATCATTTTTTCATTGTGGCCGTTAGAGGACGCTTGACACTGCACTTTGGATCGTTTTAACTAGGCATAACTTTTTTCTCAGGGTAGCTTTTTTACTTTTATTGTGAAATAACAACAATTTTCTCGATATTTTTAAGCAAAAAGAGGCACTCAAATTCGCAAATTTCTGCGTCAGTGCAGGTTGTGGGGACAATAAAACAAAATGCTCAGAACTGTAAAAAAACGTTTCAAACGATTATTTTGCATCAGTGTTTCATTCAGCTCAGTCAGACGAAGCAACATTTAATTTTTATAATGATAACAAGTTCGCCAATCGGATACTTTCCTTCACTTAGGTTGAGCCTAGAACTATCATAAATGATGTCAGTGGTCTTAAGTCAAATGCAAAGGGTATTGACAATATATCTCTTTTCATGATTAAGCTGTCTCTCCATATTATACTACCTTACTTGACTCATATTATCAATATGTGTCTAGAGAAGAGCTACTTTCCTGAATCTTGCAGACGAGCAGTACCAAGGCCAATACCTACGGTCCGATTTCTCGGATCACGGCCCATTAGTCTGTGAGATTCTCCCAGTACATCAGTCAGGGTTTAGAAAATCGTGCAGTACTACAACTGCTCTTCTTAATTTAGTGGACAGCATTATTAGGACACTTGATAAAAAATATATGTCTCCCCAGTATCCCTGGATTTCTCCAAGGAGTTTGGTAGAATTGATCACGAACTAATAGGCGCCAAGCTAAAGTTTTATAGATTTATATAATGACAGTGCAGTTTTTCAAATGATATCTAACCTGCCCGTCTCAGTTTCTGGATGTTTGTCAAATGAGCACTTTACCACTTCTGGTGTGCCTCAGGGTTCGATTTTAGGACCTTTGTTATTTTTAATTTGTGTAGCCGATATTGCTAGCCCATTTAAAATTCATAGCTACAGTCATATGCGAATGCCACTCAAATGCTTTACTTCTTTTACACAGAGGACCTGCAAAATGCAACTTTGGAAAATAACGAGGACAACTCTATTTGCACCTACTCGGCTAATCACTACCTAACAATTAATCCTTCTAAATCTTCTGCTGTGCTGGTTTGTCCAAACCACAGAAGAGAATAATCAGAATTTTCCTTTTTCTGAAAGTGTCATGTGAATAAGTATGTTAATTGTGTGCGGCTTCGTAAACATTTGCATAACCTCAAAAAACTTATATCCTTCTAAGAAGCAGACATTTCCAGAACTTGCGAAAAAAGTTGTGCGACTCTTTTGTGTTATCAATTTTTAATTATTGCAATATAGCTTAATATCCTTTTTTAGATGTTGCCAGTCGTAATAGAATATATGTTGTACAAAATAACTGCATACGTTTCATATTTAATTTATAAAAAATTGAGCATGTTTCTGATCGTTACCCTTTAATAGGTTGTTAAATATTACCTATTTAGTAAAATATAATAACATAACCTCTATATGTAAGTTACGTATCTCTGGAGCTTCAATTTATTTACGTGAAAAACTAATTTTTAGATACAATGTTCATCAGCGACCTGTCCGTAACACAGCCTCATTAACAATGCTCCTTCATTATTTATTTCTTTTTAAACCGTCCTTCTCATACAATGCATGCGTGTTGTACAACAGCTTAGATTATACAGGGTGTAAACGTTATGATAGTCATTATTTAAATGGGTGATAGAGGAGGCTAAAAGAAGCAAAAAGTTTCATATAACATGGGGGTCAAAACGGCATTTTTTTAGAGGAAGGCGACTTTAAAGTAAAATAAAATCTGACAACGCCGCTAGACGCAAAACACGACGGAACGCAGTGTAAATAAAGATGGAGTTTGTTATTTTTGGCTTTTAGGTATTATTTCATTATTTGGTAATTAAAAAAAAACGGACTTACCACTAACTGTCTCAGCGCTTCACCTGGTGTGTGAAAGTTTATTGAACGTATTAAAAAAATCCACGTATAAATAGGAAACACAATTTTGATACATCCATTGTTTTTCTTTTTAAAACCCACACTTCATTTTTTTTGTATTTAAAGAAGGTGTTCAAAATGTCGTCCTCCACTTTCCACACATGATTCATTACGACCTTCACGAATGGTATGAGGATCTTCTTGAGCCCACGTGTGAGTATTATGGAAATCCCGTCTCGCGTGAAAGTACATTCATCCGTCGCTAGAATGTTTAAACAAAAATGCGGATTTTCAATATCTTTGTGCAAAGAACACTGACAGAATGTTAGTCTGCGAGGATAGTCTTCTGGTAACAAGGCTTGCACTCGTTGTACATGGTAGGGATAAAGCAAATTTTCCCGTAGGATTCTATAGACTATGGTATGCGATAGTCCTACGCGGCGGCCTAATTCCCGAGTGCTGATATCTGCATTTATTTCCACGATATTTAAAATTTGTTCCTCTTGCTCTACAGTAACCTGTCTTTCACGAGTGCGAATATTAGTGGGCTGAACACTTCCTGTATCTCGAAGTATTTGGTACACTTGCACAAATGCCCTTCTATCTGGTTGTACCCGTTGGCGAAATCTGTCACGATAAATTTGAGCTGCAAAATTTGAATTCTGATGAGCTTCACCGTAAACTAACAACATGTTGGGGAACTCTTGATTCGAGAACATTCTAAATAAAGACGACGTACGCGAACAAAAACAAAACAACAGGCCCGATGCCAGATAACGCGATAACTAACCACTGTTACTGTTTGCGATCGATTGCCGATTCGATAAGAGTGACGAAAGGCCGACGCGCTGTTGTCATGTGTGTTTTAAATGTTTAGTTTAATGAAAATTACTTACTTACCGACTTCAAATTTTGGCTTAACTTAGAAAAACTTGATGCCATTTATTTGTTAATTACCCAATTTAAAAACGTTTTTGGTCGATATAGTTGTAAACTGTAAAGCCACTTTGACAAAAATCTATTGACTTTTGGACCATGTATCATATGAACTTTTTGACTTGTTTTGACCTCCCCTATTACCCATTTCAGTAATGACTACCATAACGTTTACACCCTGTAGAACAAAAAGCCTGACTCTATATAGTTTTAGAGAACATTTAAAAGTTATTCTGCTAAATGATGCTCTTTAAAGATAAGATAAATTCATGTATTATCTGTAATTTGTCTTTGATAAAAGACGGTTTATTATTATTATTTGTTTCTCCAATATCTTCAAACTGAAATGAAATATATTAAATTTTTTATCATTTGATCAAAGGTATGAAGTTATGTATGAAAAACGACAGCATATGTATGCCTGTAAACCGCACAAACATGTCTTCTTTTTCGACTTTCTAGCTGTATGCACGTTGATCTTTCCTACTGGAACCATATTTTTTGTCGTATTTTCGGAGCTTTTGTTCATATTACGTTTTTTGCGATAGTTTAAATAAAATACTTCAAAAACAATTAACTCACCTATATAGTGATTTAGACTCAGAGCAAGTAAATGCAGCACTGTGATAACAATGCCTGTCAGTCTTATCAGCTCTACAATGCATGGCAGCATGCCCATCTCTTCAATCGCATCGACTTTCTCGGCGAATAATAGAACACCTGTCATACTGGAGCTGATAGCGTCTGCAATGGCCAAGCTCAAACTGGAACAAACCATTTATTTTAGTTCAAGTACTCATGCACGCGCTCCGGCACGGCTATTATGCAAGCACCTGTAAGACGCAAAAAAAAAAAAACAACGAAATGTCATCTTGCAGACTAGGTAGTTTTTAGGGTGCAAATAGGTCATTCTAAGTTTGCTTGCTATGATCGCTGTGAGCGTCCTTCTATGGAGGAATGACTCGACTACACGCATTGTTGGTTGCAGAAAGCAAGTATACGTTTTGTGAATCCGAGTAGTCTGTAGTGTTTATATCTGAGAAGGCGTGAAACAAAGAAAGTTGGTAGAGTAGCAAGATCGCATGTTTCAAGATATAGAAAAGATATAGCTGATATATGCGAGATATATGGCCAGCAGGCCTATAAAATGCAAAAAACGGTCAAAATGTCAACCTGCTGCCTAGATAGTTCCTAGTGTGCAAATAGTGCATTCCGCGTTTGCTCGCTATGAGCGCTGTGAGCGTGATCAAAACCGTCCATCTATGGTGGAATGACTCAACAACACAACACACTTATTGACCATGCTGCAAACTGTCCCCATCATGCTTTGTTGGTTGCAGAATGCCGAGATACTGTGTAGAGTATCTGAGAAAATGTGCGGTTGAGTAGCAGAGTAACGCGATAACATCTGGATGATTGTGAGTATTGGTCAAATCATTGATACTTGCTGTATGAGAAAACTGAATATGCTGCTAATGAAGAATATCTATTAGATGTGCCCGACGCATTATTTATATGTTGTCCTTTCAGGAGACAAGTTATGTTCAAAGTTACGGAAGTACCTCACATCTAGTCGCTGATTTGAATTTTCTTCTGAAAATAATGTAATAACCTCCCTGTCAGATAGGGATTTTCTTTTCTTATCTCTCTCATTTTTGAAATTCAGGAATTTGCATATGTAATTTCCAGAATGAATAAGAAAAAGTGGATGCGTAACTAGTTTCTAACTATGAATCTCAAGTAAATGTATTTGAGACAAGAAACCAATTGAATTATCATCAACACATATTATTATAGTTGTAGTCACCGGCACCGTTCTTGGCGGTTACTTTATCAACGCCATATGAAATAAGTAAACAGATCGAGTCTCCGTACCATGGGCGGACCTTAATTTTCCTAACTGATAACAAAATAATTTTCCTAATCGCTGTTTCCATTCTCCATTGATCGTTTTTCCGGGCATTGTACAATTTTTAATTGAAGATTGATAAGAGGACAATTCAAATTGCACGCCTATGTCAAGTAAGTTGTCACTTTGACAAATATGATTGGAGGGCACTAATACGACAAAGTTTTCGAGACGGAGAAACACAACTAAAATACGTATGTCTTTGAGCTTACCGAACAAACGTACACACACAGGGGTAGGTTGCATGTGTATGTATAAGAGAGATAAATGGATATTGATAGTCTTACTTTGACCCGCCAAGAAAGGTGATTACAACTATTCTCGTAGCACACAAATCCTCACTCTGCATCTATGCACTGCCGTTTCCTTCCAGCTATAGTATACAACTTACAGCTTAGACTTCCATCTCTGAAGCAGATGTTACATCACAACAGAGCCAAACATTGATAGTTGAAGCATCATGACGTTTAATCAACACGTACAACTACAAATCGAGTTCATAACAAGTGTATATCAGTTGGTGCTAAATTAATATCTTGGAAAAGAACCTACGTTATGTCAAAGATAAACGACCTAATGTCACTTATACACGTTATACCCATGGCGGTGGCGGTTGATTTTATGGGATAAATTATTTTAGAGATGAATTATATACGTTAAGTTCGGAACTGGCAACCTGACAAGTCGCAGTCGTTGCTTTCATCATTCGTCGTATTTTTGAAAAATAAAAAAAAAGTCGACGTCAAGCCGGAAACGGTACAAAGGTTCTCCTATTTAGAATTCTGATTTACATGTTTACTTTGAAATTATACTGTGAGCTATCTTGTCTGATCAAATGTGAATTTTCTACATGTCCCTTTTCAAATGACGACTCGTCAGTCCTTAAAATTTTCTCTAAAAATCGTGGATTTTCCCGGTGACTCTGTAACATTGTTTGAGAACACTCATCTCCTGGAAGATAATCCACTGGTGGTAGAGATTGTACTCGCTGTGGTATGGGTGGAGCTCGTTTTTTCGTAATATTCGGTGGGATGTACTTTTAGACAGTCCCGCGCTTGCTTCTATTTCTTCTATTTGACGTACTGAAGTACTAGGGACTTCTTCGACTGCTTCTAGTAAGACGTTCTCGTAAGGAAAGGAAATTCTGATCGGGATGAAGAGCAGCATTTGGGTGCATCTCACGATGAAGCCTACCTGCAGCACTAGCATTGCATCTACATTCCCCATAAATTAGGTGTATGTTGGCATATTCCTGTACGGTGTACTCAAACATGGTGGCACTACACAATCATGAATTAATAAAAGCAGCGCTACTATCTGCCATGCTGTCACTACGTAGCATGGCACTGTCCGACACTCCGTCTAAGAAAAAATTGAAATTTGTAGTAATGAGAACTGAATTATCATCACATGGTGTTGATTTTTCCGAATTTTTAAAGCCTATAATTTAGAAGTACACGACTTAGATTTTTTTTATATTCGTCTGCTAACTATTATGACTTGGCCTATTTCCCCGCTTCCTTTAGTAAAACATAATTGCCAGGCTATTACAAGAGGAGACAGGAAGATTGCCTGTTTACCTATGTCATCAGTCATGCGGATGCCTTACTTTTGGAGCGACGGTGCACAGGATAGTTCGTAAAAGAGTACCTAACTAGACAATGGTCATGCGGAAGCAAAAACTCTTCGGAGGCCGAGGGGAACTAGTGACAGGCCCTAAGGAAGCCATCAACTTCGGGTAAGTCAAATTAACTTCGAACACAGCAACGGCGTTACAATTGCCGAGGGTTGGAGGTTGCGGGTTTCAGCCTAGTGTAAGGCCATGATGGGTCCCCAGGGGTAGCCATTCTAGCATTCAAGGACGCCACTGGCAACAAGGGACATGGCAGCTGCAATCTTGGAAACAAATGTTAGTAACAATAGATATAGGCTATCTGTAGGGACCGTATACTTGCCATACGATACTGCGAACCTTCCTCCAACTGACGACTTAGTAAATATTATAAATTATGCGGAAACTAATAGACTGCCAATCCCACTAGGATGGGTTGCAAATGTGGCAGCTGCGACATTAACAGTCGACGCGAGACTCGATTAAAGTTCACAGCGTCCCAAAATCTTGAGATTCTCAATAAGCGACTTTTACTAGCCGTGGAAAGAAGTCAACGACATTACAGTAATTACCTAGAGTCTGGAAAGTATCGATTCCAGCTGGAGGATAACAGACGATATCACTCTAGACTCAGTCGTTAACGAACTTGTGGGAATCATCAACAATGGTGCTAAATAGGGCGGTGAAAACAACAGCTCGTCAGAAGCCTTCAGGGGCTCAGAAAAGAACATCGGAAAAATAAAAGAGCAAGCTGGCGGAACTATTGCGAGGAGTAGAAGTCCCTATCCGACTCCGCCAGATTGTCGAAGGTGCTCACCTGCGAAAAAAGGAATAAGAAAAGCTCATTCAAGAGAGAAGATGGCATACAATTCAGCCAAACCTGATGACATCTTCCCGGCACTGTTACAAAAGGGGGCTGCCGTTTCTGCTGACATACCTAATGAGGGCCTCCACAGCGCAGGGATACGTGCCCAACTCATGGAGATTAGCGAGATTAGCCTTTATTTCTAAGCCAGGAAAACCGACTACTCACCTTTAGACTTATACGGGGTGTTAGGGAAATAATACGAGCCCCTTCCCACTTCAGCTGGCCCAACTATTGAAATCTTAGTTTTTTTCTTATCAAACACAAATAATAAAAATGTAGCAGGGTATTATAGGTTTAAAATATTAACAATGAATATTTTGATAATATATAGTAGAAAACACCAACTTTATCACTCTCTAATCAAATTTGCAGCATAAAAATAACACATGTTGCAATTACAGCATATCAACCTATTTTCATTTCAATGCAAAATAAGTCTATAACGCATAGGTGGCTGTAAAAATTAAAAGCCATGATAATTGTTTTTATTAATCACAGGTGCCAGAATACGTGTAAAATAGTTTTGGGTAGTTAATGTTTTAAAAAATGGGTAGAGGAAAGGTTATTAGTGAGAAAATTCGGTTACTGATAATTACATTTTTTAATTCTGGGAAATCAAACTCAGAAATTGCAACTTTGTTAGACTTATCGCGGTACAGTGTGAGAAATATTGTTAGAAGATATAACGTAACTGGTTCAGTTAATATTAAGCCACGATATGTGAAAAAAATAATATTACAAATGCCGACCGAAGAGCATTAAGAAGAATAATCGTGAAAAACAGGCGTGCCAATTATTTACAATTAAGAGCTGTGGAGTGACGCTGTTGGAAGGAGAATTTCGAGGTCCACAACTCATAGAGAGGCCCACACACTGTGGTAAGTTGTCTTATAAAAAAGTGAAGTAAAAACAATAAAGTTGCACAACTTGTTTATAGGCCAAAGAAAAGCCAGTATTAACTACACTGCAAAAGAAAAATCGGCTTAGATAGGCTAAAGAACATAGACAATGGACACCTCAACAATGGAGTGATGAGGCCGGATTCGAAGATTGTGTTGGTGACAGTCGCAAAAAAATGAAGCATTCCATGTTGACTGTCTGAAGAGAAAAGTGAAATTTCCAGCATCCATTATGGTCTGGGGCAGTATGTCATCAAAATGAGTAGGAAAACTTTATTTTATTGATGGAAATGTGGATACAAACAAATATTTGGCAATTTTAGAAGAATCACTTTTACCAGTGATGGAAGAATGTTTGACATCCGGCCAAGATTTTGTGTTTCAGCAAGATGGTGCAGCGTGCCATACCTCAAAAAAGGCTATAAAATGGATGCAAGAAAATAATGTACCACTTTTGAAATGGGTTTCTAGCAGTC